TAATTGTCTTACTAAATCTACGTCCTGTAGATTTTATACCTTTATTTTTAACAATGTTTTGGAATATTTCCAAAGTTGTACCATCAAATTTTTCCATTAGTAACTCCTCTGCTTTTTTTTCAATTAAATTCTTTTTTTTTAATATTTTTAATAAATCTTTTAAATTTCTGATAGATTTTTCTTGCCGTCGAACTCGTTGTTGTAATGATTTAATTTTTTTCTTCAATTCAGCTTTAGATGGAGAAAAACTAGGACGCTTTGGTAGACTTATATTAAATAATGAACGGGCACATGATACTTTAGATGGCGTGATTAACAATGGTCTAGGTGGTGATGAATTTTCTGTTAATAAGTTACATTCTTGAATATTTGAGGTTGATTCAAGTGGTGAAATAATTTTGACTGAAGTAGTATCATAATCAACAACACAATCACCATCATTACTTATTTCTAAAAAACATGGTTAGGTAAAGTCTTGGAATAATTTCAAATTGGTATCAATAAACATTTTTTAATTATATAAAAGTATTTATAAATTACCTGGTTCATTAATTTCAGCACAAGGAATATAAGAGCTGCATCCAGCTACTTTAAATGGGTCAACCTCAAGACACTGCATTTTAGCTTTTGATATAATGTCTGAGTAGTTTGGGAAAATTGAAGGGACAGCCGTTACCTTGAGTTTTAGCAAATAACTACCACCACAGATTTTTTCGAAATCATTTTGATGGAAATGATCACTACATACTTTGCTATATTTGGTCGGGATAAACCCTTTGCGGCCAACTGCATTAACCCATTGCTGTGTTCTTTCTGCATTTTTCAGTGGGAACCTATATACAGTATGTTCTGTTTTAATTTCTGAGAATAGTTCAGCCACTAACTTCAAATGAATGATAATTGATTAATTTATTTATTTTGATGAAAATATACTTAAAACTATACGTATAGTTTAACACTTGTGTAAGTTTCATATTATAATACATTAAATAAACAAAATTACTATGGTATAAAATATCTAACGATTACTCACGAGAAAAAGTGTATTTTTCGAGGTCCTGGTTTTGACCTATTAGTACACAAATGCACACTGCAGGAGCACACCATAATGTGTATGGATATAAAAACTACAATAAATATAATATACAACACAATACCAATCGT